CCAGCCGATCACCTGTTGCACTGTTCACTGTTGATGGTGCTCTTGTTTCAGCCCAGGGAAGGCCTTGCTCTGGGACTTGCCTCTGTGACTAATCAGGTCCCTAACCTTCTTGTCTGGCTTTCTTCCCTTTGCACCAGGTGTTGTGCCACAGAGTGCCCCTCCTGTTCCCACTGCCTCCTCCCGGTTCCATTTCCCACCTTTGGACAGCCACTCCCCCACTGAGGATGCCCAGCCCAGCCGGTTTCCCACAGGGCCCCTGGTGCCATCCGGCCAAGAACCTTTGAGCGACAGCAGCGAGAGGAAGCCCGATGTGCCCGAGCTGGAGGACGGCTCCTCTGACTGGCGGCGTAGCATGGATCTCATGGCACCTCGCAACGCAGTGGGCCCCGGCGGCATCAACCCTCAGAAACGCAAGCCAGAGATCATGCTGCCTCTCTTCACAAGGCCTGGGATGTACCCGGATCCTCACAGCCCTTTCGCCGTATCCCCTCTGCCAGGGCGCGGCGGGGTGTTGAATGTCCCGATCTCACCTGCCATGTCCCTGACTCCGACCCTCTTCTCCTATAGCCCTTCGCCAGGTCTCAGCCCTTTCGCAGGCAGCAGCTGCTTTTCTTTCAACCCTGAGGAAATGAAACACTACCTGCATTCGCAAGCCTGCTCTGTCTTCAACTACCATCTGAGCCCGCGGACTTTCCCTCGTTATCCAGGGCTCATGGTCCCACCACTACAGTGCCAAATGCCTCCAGAGGAGCAAACCCAGTTCCCCATCAAACTGCAACCTCCTCCTATCGGACGCAAAAACAGGGAGAGACTGGAAAGCACTGAGGAGTCAGCTGCCCCCCAGCTTGCTACCCCTTCCCCCAGGGTGAAGATTGAGCCTATGGTGGACAAGGAGCTGGAAAGTGAAGAGCTTCCAGCAAAAGGAAAAGACAAAGCCGAGAGGGAGGAAGGATCTGGCATGGCAATGCATAATGCCACCCTGGAAGGAGAGAAGGGGACTATCTTTGCCAGGCCGGCTGCCCCATCCTGGTCCCTGACCCAGTCAGCATCCACCCAGGTAAATGTCTCAGCTGAAGAGTCCCAAGAACAAGGGGATGGTGGTGGAGAGAAGCCATCCAGAGATCCAGTAGGAGAAACCGGGACCCAGGAGAAGAGAGAGGATGCCTTGATGCCACCCAAACTGCGTCTCAAGCGCCGTTGGAACGGTGACCGCCAACCGGAAGCTACCGAGGAGCGCCAGAATGGGAAGGTCCACTGGAACGGTGCGCTGGGTGCCCCGCACCTGGTGGCAGAACCCAAGGCGGTGACTGCCACGGCCACGTCCGACACCTAGGATCCAGGAGTGCCGCCGTCCGCTTGGACCGACAGCCGTGTATTTATGTAGCGAGATTGCAGAGTGGGGGTGGGGGCGGGGCGGGGAGTGGGATTAGGCTGGTTTGATCATTCTAGAGACTAGGATTTTCTGGGTTTCTGTTTGTTTTTTTTGTTTCGTTTCGTTTTCCTTGTCGAATCGCAGGTGAGATGCAGTCGGCTTGCTCAGATTAGGAGGGGGAGACGCTCACCTCTTCCGGGCCTCTTGCAAACTCCAGAGAGGCTGAGGCCGAGGTCTCCGCCAAGGCTTAGGGACTCCAGCCATAATCTACTTTATATTCTCTAGTATTTATAGAAGCAGGAATCTCTGACTACTTCTAGTTCTTTGTATGGAGTCCAGCGTAACAATGAGAAGGATTTCCTGGCAGTTTGGGGTGCGGCCTTTGTCAATGTGGGGATCAGTCTGTTTTTAGTGGGGGTGGGAGTGGGGGGTATTGCACTGTCCTTCGCTTGGAATAAATTGTGGAAAGACACACGTCAGGAAGGGAGAGAGGCCTGCCAAAACCATGACGGTGGTGGGCTGGGGGGCAATTTGTGTTAGGACTTGAGGGCATCAAGGCAGCTCTTTTAGCTTTCTTGAAACATTGAAGAAGCCATGAGCAGTTGTAAAATCTTTCAGGGAAGGGAGCGGGGTGGGAAAAATAACCTAATGCCTTTAATATACGCATTAAAATGTACCCAAGGTTTGTTTTTTTTTTTCCCCCCTTTTCCTAATTGTATGGGTGGAGTCAGGAGCGATTGGAAGATTAACACTGAGATGATTGTGGTGAGTTCATAGAGGAGGAATGAGGAGAGCTTTGCTAAGTCTATTTCCTTTCTTGTTTGGTTTCCCCTATCACTTTGAGTCATGCCTTAACTACATATACACTTTATGTGATCAGGGTCTATTGACAGAAGAAACTTGTGCAAGAGCAGCTGAGCCAAGGCTGGGTTGAGGTTTCGTCTTTCGATCGATAGTGTTGGCAGGAGATTGCAGAGGGTGAGCCAGCAGTGGCTGGAGGACAGAGTTGCATGGAGAAGCAGGGGAAGGCCAGGCAAGCGTTGAGGCCAAGCCTTCAGTGAGCACACAAGGAGCTTGGAGGTGGATTGGAGAGGGCGCGCGGGGGGCTGGGCACCAGCCGCTCAGGCCTCGCAGCACGGATCTTGTTGTTGAGTTGCTATAAACCTGCTATTTCCCTGGATAGCTGCGTTTCTCGTTAGCCTAATTAGCCTAGATTGCGGCAAGGACCGTGGATCTTTCCTGCTGCATTGGGTCTCCCTTTCTAGGGATTCCTTGAAAAGAACTGACACTTGATCTCCACGGGGCTGCAGTGGTCTCTGCAGCCTTGCGGCTGATTCACACCGGTCTAGGAAAACAGCCTGAAGCAGGCGAGTGACTGTAACCAGGAGCTTAGCTGCTGCAAGAGGACAGATGGGGAGGTGCGTGAGCACAGGGCTACTCGCACGCACTAGGCGCAGAAGCTTGGTCTGTGCCCTTTTAGGGGGCGGTTTGCCTGTTTGGATAGGAGCCCGCATCGAGGCACTGTCCAAGCCAAGTACTGTACATAGTACAAGGTGGGTTCTTCAGAGGAATCCTCCATTGGGTAACTAATGCCTGAGAGGCAATGGAAGAGAAACAACCTGGGGTGGGAGGGGAGGGTGGGGAAGGAGGTTGTCATCTCTTTACCGGGGTAGTTCATCTTAGTTGCCGCGTCGGCGCCTTTCATGGTTTGTTCCAGGCCTCCCAGTGCCGCAGACTGCAGCTCAGCGGGGCCTCCAAACCCGCAGACCTCCTCGCTCCCAGTTCACAGCCATCACCGCCAGTCCCTGCAGCTGGCTTTCTAGCCCCTAGGTTTATCTCCACATTTGGAAGCAAATACAGTGAGGGTGTTGGAGGGGAGGAAGGGATGCGAAGGGTGTTGTGGGTTTGAGAAGACCCCCTTCCCAGAGGGAGGGCCAGCAGATGTCAGTATGAACTCAGGAATAGAAACATGAGGCCTTTCAAATCAGTACTGCATATCTTCACCCCCAGTGTTCCCAAGTGCCAGATCTAATGCTGCCGCCTCTTCCGGGCAGAGGCGGGCAGGGGAAGCGGAATCACCTGCTTCGCACTTCTTTAAAAAAAAAAAAAAAAAAAATGGAAGTTGACTACATTGAAAATGTCGTTTGGCTTTAAAAGTTCGTAACCTGTTTGGGTCAGGGGGTTCGATAGCCATTGCACTGTAGACTGGGAGCTCCATGTTCAGGGATAAAGGACTCAGGTTCTCAGGACAATGGACCAGCAAGTGCTGGGTACATCGGGTTTGGGGTGATGTATTCAGCTTTGGAGGGAGAGGCGGCCTTGCCGCCCTCTTCCCTATCTGGCTCGGGAAGTCACCTTTTTTTTTTTTTTGCAAAGGCAGGTGCTCCTCCTGGCCAGACTTCACCTTGCCTAGCAGCAGCTGAAAGGAGGAAACTTATAAATACATTTTAAATGAAAAAATATATATTCCAATGTGCCAAATATTTAAACTTGTGAAGTTTAAATGGTTGAAATTTCAACGTCCACCTGTATTAATTAATCAAGAGCATGTTAACGTTTAAACCATTTTTGCTTTGTTTAGCCATAGAGAATATGTAGGAAAGAACTTTTTAATCGGACAACCAGCTGCCATCCAGCTTTCCGGGGAGGCCTCGTCGGGGCAGAGCGGGGGTAGCGAGTGCCAGCCACGCAGCTCCTCCAGGCGTGAACCGAGCCTTGCAAAATCTGCAAGCCCCGAGCTTGCCCTACTCCACGAGGAAAATGAGTCCCCACCCTGCCCCTTCAGAGGCAAGTAGGATTTTGCAAGGCCAAACTAAATGGGAGATTTCTGCGGCGACCGTATCCCTGCTCCAGCTGGAAAGAGTCAACTCCCAATAGTGCTGCCTGGGTGGAGAGAAAGGAAAGCCCCTTTCTAGAAGCATTAACTGCAGTGGCCAATTGCCACTGCCTTCACCTATTGGACAGGTTAAATCTGCTGCTTGGTTGTTCCTTGTTTTTATTTATTCTGTAATTATGTTTTTGTTTTTATTTTATTTTTTTAAGTAAATCTTTTCTTTTCCTTTTTTTTTTTTTTTGTCTTATGGATCCTGGTGGGTTGGTTTTTAAAGGAAAATAGACGTCGTCTTTGGTTTGAAATATTTTTAATCAGATTGTTTAAAAGCAAAAAAACTGTTCCATTTTAGTGTGTTTTAAAAGAGAAAGTATTTACCCATAGACAGTTGTAATTTCACTTTTCATGAGGCATGTTCTTTTGACTTGATTCGAGTTGATTCAGCAGGGATTAGTAAGGATGTATACACATTGAAACAATTAAATGGTTAGCTTGCGCTATCTGTCCACTGAAAGCGAGATTGAAAAGCGTGTGTGTATATGTACATAAAAAATGTAAAGTAGTCTTTAAATACTTCATTGTGCAGTGCCTTTAGACGTTCCACTTTCTATAAAGTCTTCAAAAAAAAAGTTTGCATATATATATATTATATATATATGATGTAATGTTATAGAAATATATGTATAATATACATATTTTTTCCAGGGGTATCTGATAGCTCTGTATTTTGTTATGGAAGTTGAAAGAAAAAAAAGTATTTTACCTCAAATTAAAAAGTTAAATAAACCTTTTAAATAAGCCTACACACGTGTGGCTTTGCTTTGTCCAGCTCCGCATGCCGTCTGCTACTGTAGAGCCCTCCTGGTCACAACGCCTCTGGGGGGAATACGGGCCTGGGTTCTCCAGGTTGGAAGTGGAGGCAGTACTTTTGCCATAAGATCCTGTCCTGCACTTTCCCCGTCCCCTGAAGCCTGTCCCTGGCCGGTTTGCATGCTGTGGTCATGGGTGCTCTCGGACCAGGAGGTTGGGATCTTTCCCGCGTCAGGGCTGGCGAAATGAGTGCAGGGGGAGGAGGGAAGGGGGTGTTTAAAAGCAACTAGTGCCATGATGGACAGATGGCAGGATGAATCCAGCTAGCCTTCATGGAAGACTGTTGCTGGGAGAAGTCTCAGCTCTGTTGACAGGAGGGATGTGGGGCTCCTGTGATACGGGTACGACAGCTCCAATCCCTCTGCCTCTAGGACCTGATGGTGGATGGAAAGGCCTCCGTTAAGACTTCAGTGGTTCCCAATCTGTGGTACGGGTACCACCAGTGGCATGCAGACACCCTGTAAGTGGTACACATTAACAGATGTATTATAGGACAAAAATTTGCTGGTGGTACTTCAGGTTGTATCATTTTAAATTGGTGGTGCGCAATCTGTCAGTCTCGGGACCGCCAGACTGGATGATATCGCTACTGGGAATTGGCTCGGGCGTGGGAAGCTTTGTTCGTGCAGCTTGTCCGAGAGGGTTGTGATGTGTCCCTGGAAGATGGAGATGCTGGTTCAGACTTGGCACTCCTGGAAGCAGGTTTGTTATGTTTTCCATGAGCATCAGCTTCTGGCTCTTCTGCCCAGCGTCCATGCCTCGAGCGCTTCGACTTCAGGCTCCCAATGGATTTTAAACAGAGACACGTCCGGTTTGAAAACAGCCCAGCTGTTCATGGCACATACCGTCCCTGCAACACACAAGGAGCCCTGGGCGGTTGATCTGGGACTCGTGGTACCCGCGCAGACTGGGACGCTGGTCCCAGCCCCCTGAGGGCTTGCGGTGCAGGGAGGAGATGAGACAGCAGCTCTGTACGAGCAGACAGGAATGCAGGGAGACAGCAAGGCTGTGCCAGTTGCTTTGCTTTGGCAGCAGTTGGCACACGGCTGCCTATCCAGCGTCAAGTGGGTGTACGCTAAACTGGCCCAAAGCCAGGCCCTTAAACCAGATCACCTTGCTCACGTAGCAGAGGCTTTAGGCCAAAGGTACTTTTCTACTACTTCCTCCGTGGAAACGGGCCTGGAAGTAAGGCTCTGGGGGCAGGGAGGTGTACGGCAGCCCCAGCCTGGCGGAAAATCAAGCCCAGCGACTTGTTCTCAGGCGCGGGGGAGATCTGTGTCAGAAGCAGCTTAGTCTCTGGGTGTTCCTGGCTCCCGGCCTGGCCTGACACCGCAGAGCTGCGCCTCTCTGGGCTCACGTTTCCTTGCCTTTCTGCAATTCACTCAGAGATGGCTCCAGGATGGAGGGAGCAGCGATGCCCAAATTCCAGCTACCTGGCAGACGTGTCCTCTCTACACTGCACTCGGCCACGTAGCTGTGGTTTGTATGCGGGGCTCAGAGCTGCTTGGCACTGGCTTCCAGGTCCAATTCATGTCATATGGACTGTACGTTAATTAAATGGCCGTTAATGCCGAGGACATGCATAGCTGACTGCAAAGCGCTGTGAGCAGCCATTCTGTTGCCTAGCTAATCCGCCCGTGTTTTTACTAATTAATTAGCACTGGTAACCTTAAGAACGTTGGCTGTCCTGTCAGATGGAAATGAAATGCATGCTTCAAGAGCTCCTGGTAATAGCATTAGGCTGCCTGTGCATCGGGGTTCCTAACGAGAGACAGGCAGTAAACCCTGCCCAGACTTGTTGGGGGTCGCGGGAGATGGAGGGTCTGAGTCCTTGTTCTCAGTGGGGGCAGATGACAGAACAGGGAGCAATGGGCTCCAGTTGCAGCAAGGGAAGTTGAGGAAAAACTTAGGATGGTATGTTGTTCTAGAACAGAGGTGGGAGAAAGGGAGCAAGACTATGCAGCTGATATGGGGGAGCTGAGAGCAGAGCAGCTAATCGGATGAAAAAGGAGCTGAAAGTAGAGCAGCAGTTTAGACTATAGTGACAGATGACAGGACAAGGAGCAATGGGCTCAAGTTGCAGCAAGGGAGTTTAGGTTGGATATTCAGAAAAGCGTTCTCACTAGGAGGTTGGTGAAGCACTGGAACAGGTTACCCAGAGAGTGGCATCTCCATCCTTGAAGGTTTTTAAGCCCCGCCTAGACAAAGCCTTGGCTGGGATGATGTAGTTGGGGCTGGTCCTGCTTTGAGCAGGGGGTTGGACTAGAAGTGACCTCCTGAGGTCCCTTCTCACCCTCCTTTCCTTGTCTGTGATTCTCTGTTGTTCTGGATTCCAGGATCTTGGGTAGAGGCAGCAAGAAAGAAAATGCGGGGGTGGAACAATACCCCTGCCACATCTAAAGGGGGGAATAGGTGGAAGCACCCCGTTGCTGCTTCGACCCCAGAAAGAGGAAGATACACATGCCCTCTGGAAGGCATGATGGCATTTCCCCATTGGGTGTACACAGGCCAAGACCCCGAGGAGCAGGGGAGCTGCATGCTCTGAGAGATCCTCGTTTGCGCTGGGGACTCTGGGACAAGGCTCCGGTTGCAGCCACAGGTACATGAACGATGCCGCAGCTCCTGATCTAGCCTGGGGCACGCTGGCTGTCCTGGGTGCTTTGCAGTTTTCACAACCAGGCCCACAGCAAATGCATCTCCTTCCCCTAGCACATCCCTCCCTGTCAGCTCCTTCCTTGTGACTCCTGCAGCTGGGCTGAATCGCCCCCAGGCCTGGCAGGCACTTGGAGACCTTCTCCTTTGGAGCCAGACACCAGTTCTGTCCCGCATTGTCCTCTCTAGCAGGTTTGGCCCCAGAAGCCGAAAGGTCTTGCGGGTGCATGTCATATTTCAAATGGAGCCAAGCCCTGGGTTTCCTTTCCGCACAGAGAGTGGGGAAATCAGGACCTAAATGAAAATGAAACCAGCCTCCGTTTCTAAACATTTCCAGCGGGGGGGCAGGGTGCAGGCCCCGGGTATTTTCCAGCCTGCCCTTCCAGCCGCTGTTGTGAGCCTCAAGGTGACCACAAAGCTGCTTAAGAGCCTCTTTCCCAGCCTCCGAGCTCAGCCAAGCAGTGTCATGGTGTTTAAAGCCAGCAGAGATTTTTCCAGCCAGGTGCTCTCCCCTCCTTTTCAAATATTAGCACAGCCAAGAGCCAGGAGTTCAAAGTGGAGGGCATTAGCCAGCTCTCCTACTTCTGCAGCTGTTCTGGGGGCTTACGAGAAAGGGATCCAGCTGCTTCGACTCAAACCTGGGCAGGGTGGGGTAGAGAGAGCCTTAGGGAAGGGAGCCAGGACGCCTGGGTTCTTGCCTTAGCTCTAAGCAGGGAGTACAGCTTAGTCAAATGTGAGGTCCAGCACCGAGCTGTCACCCCTGGATTGCAGACGGAGGTCCAACAGGGGCCTCAGGATGCCTGGGTTCAATTCTCCATCTGCAGGAGAGGCTGGAGGAGCACGTCAAGGATACCACCCCCCCATGCACCCCCTCCTGTCCCTTCCCGCTCCGTCTCGCTCTGTCAAAGCCAGCGTGTTATTGCAAAGCAGCGCAGCAGCAGTTAGCACCCTCTGCTTGGCAGTGGAGGGCATGGAGGGGGGGGAGGGATGGTGCTATTGATCTGTTAGATTACTCAATTTCACCCGTATTGATCAGGTAATTGCTTTATCTCGGCTCTCATTTGGAAACTGCATTACTTGCTCTCTTTCTCTCACCCCCCCACCCCCCCTTTCCCCACCGTACGCTCGCTCTGGTTTTTAACTCTCCTCTAGCACCAGCAAGTGGCCCTCGGAGAGGCAGTAAAGTTTGGATAGCTCCCCACCAGGGCAGGTGAGATGGGGCTGGGGTCTCCCGGCAGGCTCCTGCCTGGCTGCTGATGTCCATACCTGGAGGGCCGCTGGCCTGGCCTCCCTCCCGAGAGCTGCCCAGCATCCAGGCGCATTGCAGCTCTGGGTAGTCTCTCCTGCAGCCAGGCTGGCTTGGAGGTTGGGGTTGGATTCTGATCCCCCTGAAGTAAATCCTCAGCCAGCCCCTCTGGGCCTGTGGGAGGAAGCTGCAGAGATAAATGCTGCTGGAGCTGCTTTGTCAGGTTGGGCAGAACAGACCCAGTCCCATCTGTAACATGGAAGGGCCCTTTTGCAGCTAAGGCCCACTCTTGGTAGAAAAAGGAGAGCCCTTCCCTGCCCCAGAGACCCTGCAGAAGGGCCCAGAGGGCCTGGGGTCTTCCCTACTCTGCAGAGCCAAGCACAGAAAATGGGGTCTCCCTCTTGCCTCCAAACCAAGTGAATCTCTAGCAGAGATGT